AAAAAATGCGCTGAATATGCGTTCTGTGTGAATGGCTTGGTTTCGGTTTTAACCTAATCAAGATCTTCTACGCATTGAGCTACTATATTGCTCTAATATTTTGAATGAATAATGCAGCAACTGCGCGTCGTGTGGGCTAGACTTATAAAACATTAAAATGCAACAACGTCACTTACATCATCATCACCGCATCTGTGCTCCACTGATGACGCTCCCTGACGCACACCTAACATTTGATTGTACTATTTTTGCATTCAAATGCAAATGTTTATTTTAAATTCGACTAATATTTTATTTTTTTTTTAAATTCACTATCTCATCACAGGCAGGCACAGCACTCAATTCAGCATGTGTTTGTGTTTGTGTGTGCGGTTTGCGTCACTCATAGCACGTGCCTATATCGTGCGCTATATCGAACATTTTTTCTATCGTTATCGAAGAGGGTGTACCGTCGATAAATATCGATACCGTTTTATCGCCCAGCCCTACTCTCACTGCTCTCGAAATGTACCCAACTATGATGACTTCCACTGCTAAGAAACCCGGAAATGTGAAAAAGGTCTATATATGTAAAGCTTACATAAACATTGCGGCACTGCACATGCATGGTATTTTTAAATCCGATTGAGAAAATACCCGGATTCAAGTGTTGACATGCTTAATTTTGTCTTGTTGATCAAATTATTTAAGGTCTACACCACCCCTTTCAATCCAATCGAAATCGATTGAGGTGTTTACATGAAGAATTTTCAGTCTGATTGAGCCATCAGTCATATTATAAATCAATTATTCGGGTGCATGTAAAAAACTAAGCTATTGGCATTGAGGCTTATAGTTTCACCTGTGTTGGCAGTTTTACTGGAGTCAGCACTTTCACCTGCACAAAGTGAAGTGCTTTTGTTTTAGTGAGTCATCTTTAGTTCTGTTGCAAAACCTGCCTCGTTGCTTCCTGCCTACAAAGACAGCTGCCTTCTAAGGGGACATTCACACAGAATGTGTTTTTGCATTCCACAGCACTGCTTTTCCAGTCTTTTTCTATGTAAACTTGATGCACCTTCCTCCATTCTAAAATCTAAGAAGTTCTTTTAACTTTTAAAAAACTTGGCTCTAGACTTGTGTCTCATGTTTTTAAATACATAACTTGTTCTGCGTAAATGACCTTTATGGCAGCTTCCTAACTGTCATGAAACCTCGTAGATAATCAATTTAGAGCAGTGAGTCACTGTGATAGCACTCTGCATAGGAGACTCGACTTACAATTGACTTAGAGGTCAACTGAATAATAATCAATGAATCAAGTTTTTTTTATCGCACTGATCTATTATTCACAGTACTTTTCAGTGTTGAACGAAATATATGCTTAGGTAACACTTTATTTTAGTGACTGTGTTACATGTACTTACTATAGTAATAACAGTAAATTATACATAATTACAAGAAACTAACCTTAAACCAAACCATATAGTACATGTTGTTAAGTAATATTACTCTACTAACTGTATAAATACTCTAACAGACACCTTAAAATAAGGTGTCTTGAAATAAAGTTTTCTCGTTTTTCTCTTGCCTCATCTGGTGTCTTCTGTTA